ATGCGGAGAAATGGACTTTGATGGTGACTTCATGCTTCAATAAATGGATTTATTGTCCTGTTGAACACCCGAAACAGTCCTGCACTTCCTCAGAATCATTCTCAAGAGGGAGAGGGATGGTTTATATTGCATCTTAACACTTGAGTGGCTTTCTTGGAGTTTCTTCTGATTCAACTGTACTTAAATTCTATCACTTCATTTCCCACGCAGTGCAGTTAATGGCATAAGAAGCGACGTGTTTCCCGATAAATCCACCCCCGCACTTCCACCCCCTTCCAGCCACTCAGCCTGCGAGCATCTCTCGATGATGTAACAGCAGCAATTAATTTCCTAATCTACCCAATCTTCCCCGAAGAATGGTGATTTATCACAACGCTTTAATATCCAGGCGTGATTTCCAGGGGAAAGAAAACAGGGTTGGAAATTGCAAGTCGATTAGTATGATGCTCAATTTAATTACTTTATATGATCCCAATGGGCACACATTTGATGGCAACACGAGTCTCCGCATCGCAACATACTAGCGAGAAGTCCCCAAAGGATGGAAAACTCACTCCGGAGTCACAATAATAATTCCATTTCCCAACCCCCAAAAACAAGATTAACTGAATAAAGCGCCACGCACGATAATGATTCTGTGTGAGACGCAAGCATCAAAAAGCCATGCTTTGAAAGAGGAAAAGCTCATTTATTTACACTGTCTTTTGAAGGGCATGTTTTTGGCACGATGCTTAATGATGTTTTCTGGGTGGAAAATCGTGCCGTCAATGCAGATTTTCCTCATTTTTCGCGCCTTTTCACGCCAAGAACGATGCTTTTCACGTCCACTCAGCTGCAGAATTGATCGAACTGTGTAATATAAGTATCAAGGGGAAGATAATACAGTCAAGAGTGGTGTACAAGTTCAGAGGAAGTATGATGGGAAGTGAAAGTGTTGAAAAACTTACAATATTCCTTTCCTGAGTGCTTCTTGAACCGCCAAATTATCCTGATTCTTTGGATTCCTTTTGATTTTCACGTAGAAACAAACGTAAGAATATTTTTTCTAGGTTATGAAGCGAATCTAGGACAGATTAGCGCACCAACACTGCAATTCTGAACTTTTGATGCTCAAGAAATACTGAAAACTGTGCTCAAATCAAACTAACCTCAAAATACTGGAGTTTGAACTGTGCAAATGTTCATTTAAACCACTTTCTGCACGATTTTAACTCTGAATCAGCAATTTTGAGTTCATTGGCAAATTATAAAAGACGATTTTGTGATCTAGAAAGCTTCCACGGCAAAGAAAGCTAAAAACATTGGAGGCCCTCTATATATTCCTATCGGAATATGGAAATGTCAACAAGAGGGAAGGTTGTGCTGGCGTTAGCATTTTCGTCATCTTTCACTAATAAAACGACTTCAAGCAGAGACTTTTGAGGATTTCTTAGTGATATTTTAAGGTTATAGTCGGAAAAGATACACAAAAAAGAGTTTTTAAGCGGTTTCTTACAGAAGTATTGCATGGAAACTGAAGATTTTTATTACAATTTGCAAATTAGTGAGGAAAAAGTCTAAAAATTTCAAGTGCTGAAAGTGTCAGACCTTTTTGGCAGTGTTTAGGAAGTGGTGTACAGCTTTGAGGCATACTATTCTCCCCTTGAAGCATATGAAAAGAGAAAAGCGCAGCGCAATTAACCAGAGAGAATCTCTGCGGAGTTGCAGGAAAATCCCTGGTGAAGCCATCTGCCACTGGAAGTGGAAGAAAAATCGACTGCTGGCGACGATAAATCATCCCCGAGTGCACGCATTTGGCGAAATGCATGACTTTATTATGGCAAATCCACCCCCAGGAAGACACTCGAATGCCACAGTGTCTAATGACACTGTGATGGATCTTGTTCACTGATGGAAAGTTCCAACAATTACTCACCATATTTGCTTCTTGCATTTCCACTTCTCTCGCCACACTCAGGCTTCGGCCATTGAGGAGAGCTTATTGGGTCGCTGGAGAGCTTTTTGTGGGGGCGACGACGACAAGAGTGGCTCAATTGGCAAAGTGGAGAACGATGGAAATGACATTTTCTCAATTGTGTGTCCCAATTTTCTCCAGTGTGTCCACAATTATTTTTGGGATCATTGAATTTTTGCAAAGAGTTGCAACAATTTCCAATTTTCGACCCTCCTTTTCTCACTCAAACCACCCCCCGTTTCCCCCCCAGACAAATTGTATTGATTTCGCCACTGAGAGAAATTCACACACGCCAAAATCAGTGGAAAATTGCAAACTTAATACGGCAAATATTTGTGCAGAAGCTTTCGTCCAAAAGCTCTCGCTTCTCGCTATGTTTTCATTGAGATTCATTATCAAATTGTAATCAGTGAATATTGCAGAGCTTCAACCAAAGCTTCAACTTGGACTGAAGCAAAATTTTGCAAAAAAAAAACAGAAAATCGACGGGTGCCTTGAAAACTATCAAAAGTAAAAGTAAAATCAGTTGCAATTTTTCAGAAGAACGAGTTCGAAATTTGACTAATTTACCTCAAAAACCCTCAAAACACTTTCAAATCGTCCGTTAAAGTGCAAATATTGCTCTGTATTTAATATTTTGTGAATATTTTAGTTGATTTTATCTGTATTTATTGGAATTTTTCACTAAAATACGGCAAAATTAGTGGAAATTCTGAAAAAATTACTTTCCAAAGTCGATTTTCTCCAAACAAAATCTAAAAAATCAACTTTTCATGCTTTACTTGAACTGTTCTTTAAAGTTTTTAAGTGAAAAAATTTAAAAGATATGAGAAATATTCATTCAAAGTCTAAAAAACATTTTACTGCAATTTCTGAGACATTTTTCTTACAAAAATTGTTCAGCGTAAACAATGAATATTCGATTTTTCATTCGGAAAACATGACAATTTTTTCCATTTGTGCTTTTTTCCATATAAGAAACAAATCTCAGAATTTTTGCACAGAAAGAACAAGTGAAAAGCTTTACAAAAAGCATAGTTTTCCATAGTTTTCAATTCACCCGTCGAAATTGCGGTGATAAAGCATGATAATTGATTTTTAAAGTGCTTTTAGTGGGCAAAAATTGATCCAATTTCGGAGGAATTTCACAGAAATTGGGCCAGAAACTTCCTCTCAGTGTCAAACATTCCACTTTCGCACCCCTTCGATGGCCCTTCTTGTAGACACACACACACACAAGTGCTGTGACGATGGCATTCAGACAATCTCGTGAGAAATCCTTTTCCTTCCGCAACGCACTTCTGGAATCGCTGCGAAGCCTTGTTCCTTTTTACTTCCAATTCATTTATCGTCACCCTCGCCGTGCTTTTATTCACTGGCAAACTTCCTGTGCGCCTTCTGGCCGCCCTCGCAGATAAGTCTGCAGGTGTGAAGAGACGCCCCGGCGAGATAGTGTCGAGACAAACTCGCGGGCGGGATGTTAATGGGGCGGCAGGAGCGGGGCAACAGCTGGAATTGTTGATTTGCATGAGCCGCGCGGCAATAATAGTCAGTGTTTACTGTATTTTGGGTATATTCACATTCACTATAATACATTCATGTTCACTTTTCGTGTGTGTTTACAGAATACATGCGTGGTTTTCTGCACCTCCCAGAGGAAGGAAGGCCCAGAGAGTGAGAAAGAAACGACCTCATGTATAATCTCAAGTCAACCCTCAAAATGTATATATTGAAGCCTTATCTCTCCCAGTCTAATTTTCGCCACCGCGCGCCGAATTAAACCATCCCCACAGAGAGTCACAAACACACACACACACACACTTTCCGTATGCTTTCAGGAACGAAAAGACAAGACGAAGGAAAAAAACAATACTTTTTGGCACAGCGTCACACTATCAAAAAGTCCCCCCCATTGCGGAATAGTAAGGAAAAAAAGGACAATCATACAAAATAAGAATTATACATTATATACGTTTTCATGGCTCTTCGCGCACTTTCACGCATCACAATGCGGAAAGAAGACGGAAATGATAAGACACTTGAAGTGTGTGATAATGGCGGAAAAGTGTGTGGAAAATGAGAGTAATTTGAAAATACATGTGTTTGATAAACATTGAGACACTTTTTTTCTTTCCCCAGAACTTTGACGAGAATTTCACAGCAAGTGCAAAAGACACAAATGAATTTTTTTTCTCCGATGCGGTGAAAGCCAAGGGGGAGATAATGTGCTTTTAATCTCTCTTAAGCCCTTTTCACAATAAATATTCGTAAATTATAGTGAATTTCTTAAGATTCCATGCGATTTTTCTGTAAAAATCCACTTAAAACCGCTTTTTTCAGTGTCTTTTTCGACCATAACCTCAAAAATATCACTAAAAGTTCTTAAAAGACTCAGTTTGGAAGCTTTCTAGGTGATAAAATCATCTTTTTACTTTGATTTAGAGTCAAAATCGTGCAGAAAAGGGGTTTAAATGAGTATTTTCCAGCTAAAAATGACAGTTTTTGAGGTTATGTTCGACTTCAACACAATTTTCAGTGTTTTTTGGCGTCAAATGTTCAGAATATCAATGTTTTTCGCATGAAAATCCAATCTTGTCGATTTTAGCATAAGAATTTATGTTCTAGAATGCGAAATATTCATTAAATCCATCCGTAATTCATCACATAACCTAGAAAAAGATTATTTCTTCGTGCAATTCAAAAGAAATCCCGATTAAACCGTAAAAGAATCACACTGAAAAGGAAGATTGAAAGTTTTTCAACACTTCCAACTGCATTATCTCCCCCTTGGGTGAAGGGAAAACTTTGCCAAGCTGCTTTCCAAGTGACAAAAAGGACCATAAACAATTCACTGTGTCACTCTGTCATCTTTACAAACATTGTGGTGTGCTTTTTTTGTCTCCAGTGAACATTAAATATTCCTCGAAAATATCTACAAATTCTAAACTTCGGTATAGCATTCAAATTTTGTCTGTTTTCCTTGTAAAATTTTGTTCATCGTATAAGAAATGTACTCTCATTGCCTAAATCTTATCGCCTATGTTGGTTTCTTTTTTTTTCTTTTTGTTATAAGAAATTCGAGGTCTCTTTGGACTCTCTCTCTCTCCCCATTTTCATATATATATATATATATTGTCTTCCCCGCGCAGGAAAAGTCTTTGTTCTTCACCTCTTCGCGTGTACAAAATGCGCGGCGTCAGTCCTAAAATCTACAATAAATCGCAATAAATAAATAAATTAGAGATGGATTTGAGATTTCTACACTTCCGACATGATGATCGTCTTCGGCCGCTCGGCGATCATCACGCGCGCCGGCCGCATGCACGACGCCGACCTGCGTGACACCGTGAGCGACGTCGTGAGCGTGCGCATCGAGTCGCTGCTGTTGTGCATTCTTGGTCCTCCGGCCGTGCCGCAGCGCGTCTGGGCGTGATTCGACTGCTCGCGCGTCTTCAGGCACCACGAGGACGCCAACCAGCGGAAGGGCGGCAGGCGTCTGCAAGAGAGCCAAGGGTGGCTTGTGAAACACGAGCGCCAAGTGGAATTTCCTGGTGCAACACAGCACTATCAAGTATCAAAGGTAATTGAGAAAGTTGCCATGAGAATGTTTATTAGAGCTCAAATTAAATAAATGTGGCTTCGTCCTGTTATCTCCTTTGAACCTCTGAGTTGCCCACTTAATTGAAGCACCACAGCTTTCATGAATTAATTAAAATTGCATTCAAAGTAAGAGATAAACAACAAAACTCACATATTTAACAACGTGAGAAATAAGGAATTTCACTGCATTTCACTCTTTGCGTGATTTACTATCTAATCCGTTCATTTTTGATCATTTTTGCATTTTACTGAGCCTTAGAAGCCAGAAAATACGGAGTAATACTCGTGGTAGAAGCCACGCCCCCACGCAAGCTCCGCCCACTTGTGCAATTTATTGAGCCTTCGAAGAAAGTCAGAAAATAAAGAGCGATGCTAATTATTTGTCACAGCGCTACAGAAATTGATAAAAGCCACGCCCCCGTGGAAGCCCCGCCCACTCGTGCATACCTGAGAGCCCTGCAGACTTGCGTGGAGAAGAGGCAGTAGATGAGCGGGTTGGCGGCCGAGTTGAGCGGCGCCAGGCTCTGGATGAACGTGGCGATGGCGATGTTGGTCTGCGTGCGCGGAATCTGATCGAAGACCTGCAGCAGATCGAAGACAATGTAGGGCGACCAGCACACCACGAACACTATCACAATCACGATGGTCATCTTCACCGTCTTCACTTTGGCACGTGGAATGATGCCGCGCGAGCTGGCGCGGCGGCTGCCCCGATCGACGCCGCGGCGATCTGCAAAGGGAAGAAGCACTTTCGGTCACTTGGCATGCGGCGCACGTGCGCCGCGCGGAAGTGGGTCTTGGCCAGAGGAAGGAAGGACGAAATGGGGGCCATCAAAGGATGGGCGAGAGAGAGTGTGCTAAGCAGAGAACAAAAGAGCATATAATGGACATGTCCGAGTCATAAATCACACCATTAAATGGAAATAAACGCCATAAAGCTACAATTTCGCACTCGTGCATTCGTCTTGTGGGAATGACCGAGTGATGCTCACCGATTGGGCCCAGGATGGCTCCCTTGGCCCAGATGGTCCGCACTATTATCGCGTAGCAGGCCGAGATGATGAGGGCGGGAAACACGAACAGCACCGCGGCCACCAGGGACATGTACACCTGCCAGCCGAACTGCGAGCCCAGGTCGATCCAGCACTGCGGCTGATCTGAAATCAATCGCTCATCAGCGACGGGATTCCACTAAAGCCTCTCAAATTTCATCAAAGACACCCAGAAGCACTTCGCAAGGCGGAAAAATGTTGCTTTGATTGTGTATTTTACAATATTTTTTGAGGTTATGTCAAGAATCTCTTGCGGGTTTAGTGAATTAGTTTGGATTTATAGGACATCAATTGGTATAATTAAGCATTTCCAAGCAATTAACATGGATTTTCTGATTCTTCAAAGCCAAGAAACACTTTAAATTGTGTTCAAGTCGAACATAACCTCAAAAATAATCATTTAGCCCTGGAAAATGGTTATTTAGACACCTTTCTGGACGATTTTGACTCTTAATCTGCAGTTTTGAGAGTCTTTAAAGATTTCTTGGCAATATTTTAGGGTTATTTTGAGGTTATGGTTGAAAAGAAGCTTAAAAAGAACTTTTAAATGGATTTTTGGATAGAAACTTAAGAGTTAATCACTTAAGAATTTGTATTTGTCTTCAAATCGAAAAGAAACGACGTTTGAACACAATTTTGAGGTTATGTTTGCTATATTTTACGAGAATCGTAGATAAAAGCTGTGAAATTCTTCTCTTGTGGGCAAAAATTAATTGTTTATGATAAATTTGCGCCAAGAAGCAACCGTGAAAAGTGTGAAAAATGAGTGTTTTCCAAAAATAGCTGGACTTTAGTGGAATGCCGTTGCAGGTGATTATTTGAGGGAAATTCCCAGGGATTCGCTTGGGCCATTAATAGAACACTTATGCCTGGGCAGAAGTCATCAAAATCCATTTCATCTTCTCGATAATCCGCCCAGTCCGGCGGCTGAATGTCTCTTCAATCATTTCCCGGGGTCAGGGCGCAGAAAAAATCACACATGTCCCTCACAAGTCATCTCGGAATCCAGCAGAGGACATCTCCGCAGGGGAGGAAAAAAGCCAAAACACCTTATAAATCACTTTCCGCATTTGTGGCCTTTCCCGCCCCCCCGAAAGTGCGTCGAAATCTGGGGAGAGTCAGAGACAGTCGGAAGTCGGGGCGAAATGATGGATGGCTTCGGTGGTTCGGTCCAATGGACACAAGCATTGCAATTAGTTCAATTGGAGTGGCGAATGGGGGCGGGCGGAGGCCGTTGTGCCGCCTTGAACATCGTCACGTCGTGACGATGTTCAGCCCCAAACCCCGGAGGCGCACAGATTGAGGGATTTCGGGGCTTTTGCGGTAGGTCGTGTTTGATTTTTCCCAACGCATAAATGGCATGATTTGTGACGACTTCGCCCTTCAATTCAATTGATTTCCTCCAGCGGAGCTTTCGCCCAAGGGCGCAAAACTACATCAAATTCGCTGTCTGTGCGTGATTTTTCAGTGAAAAAGTTAATTTGAAATTTCTACGAGGCCCAAAATTAAATTCCTTTCATAAATATTCCATTAGGAATGTAGAGAATCTTATAGGTTTTCCTCTTCTCCTATAAGATTGGGTGAATTTTTACATGTTTTTTTTACAAGGGGGAGATAATATTCTCCTAATCTCTACACAACTTCTTCCGAACATTTTCAGCACTTCAAATTTTTAGATCAATTTTTAATCCACTTTAAAACCGCCTTTTTGAGTGTCTTTTCCGGACATAACCTCAAAAATATCACTAAGAGATCTTAAAAGACATTCAATTGGGAGCTTTTGTAATGATAAAATCATCTTTTCACCCTTGATTTTTTACACACTTTGTGTTGAGCGAATTGATGACTTTTGATCACAATTTGGTGAATGAAGAGGCAAAAGTGCGATAAAAACTTAATAACCGAAGGTTTTATTGAGGCAGAAACTTAACTAAGGGTTGATTTATTATGATGTTTACTCAGTTTTTTTTATTGGTGTAGTTAAAAATTTATTTTTTTCATGCAAATCTTGTCAATTTCTGAAGCATATTTCAACATAAAGTTATTAAGATAAATGAGGGAAGTGAAAGTTTGAGAAAACTTCCCCCAAAACTCTCTGTGGAAACTGGACGAACTGTTATATATTGCTTTTCACCCTTAATCTTACAGCCTTTTTGAACATCTGTCACAAAAGACGACATTTCTGCATATTCTCTACATGAATCACTGTAAAAAAAGGAGAATTTGAAAATTTAACTACACAGAGAAACTGCTTCCCCGTCAAAGGCCGGGGCCAAAGGGAGATTTATGAATGGCGATGGGGCAAGATGAAAAGCCACCACCCCCTGAAAACCCCCTTGAAGGACATGAGAGATTATTTATCCATCCGCTGAGGCGAAGAAGGATGGTTTTAACAGCCAAAAACAAGCCCAGTGTAATTCACTTTATGCGTAATCTTCAAACATAATACACAATTCTTCAGCCATTGTGCTCGTTTGGGTGAAATAAATTTTATGTCATGGGCAGAGAGTGAGAGAGTAAATCTCCCGCCAAAAATTCCACACAAAGGCCCTCGTGATACAATGATGTGTGCGCTCCCCTTTTGTCCGGGGCGAAATACTTATCTGGCTGGAGATTTATGCCGTCTGGATGGAATTAATCTCTGCACTGCAACATATTTCACATGGTTGGCCCAAAATTGCGCTCTCTCGAGAGTCGCGCGCGTATTAATTCAATTATTGCAATAACATCGGCGAAATACCAACCTTGGATGGGTCGCTCCTCGTCTGCAAGAGGAGACAATTAGTTACTCACGCGGCCATCGACGGCAGCCGGCGAATCACTTACAGAGATACAGCATCGGCAGGGAGAAGAAGGCGCTCAGGCCCCACGCCGCCGCCACAAGTCTTCGCGCTCGCTTCCCTGCAAAGCACAGGACAATTAGAAGGCCTTCTGCAGACAAGCCACAAGCGCACTTGCAGTCTCTCGCGGGCAAATCGAGGGGGAGAAAGTACGGCTAAACAGTGTACAACACTTCCAAAACACTTCTGCAATTCCTCTGCAGCATCTTCAACACTTCAGCGCCCTTGAAAATGCATTTTTCATCGCTTTTTCGACTCAATTCTGACTTATCAGAAAGCTAATTCGGGTTTTTCCATCTCAAGAAGTTTAAGCTCTTCAAATGCTTCAGATTTCAGTCCAAAAAATGATTTTAACGTCCCAGGATTTGTTATTGAACAATTTCTGTCTTGATTTTCTTAGTTTAATCTTCAGAAAATGCTTGAAAAAAATTCTGAATAAATTGTGAGGTTATGAATTTTGCTCAAAAAGATATTTCAAGTCTGAAAATGAGTAAATATGGTGAATATAACAATGTTTCCACTGAAAAATTAAGTTGATTTAGCCACTTTTGAGCACAAATTGCAAAAATAACTAAACAAAGAGAATTCTCTGAGACATTTTTGAGGTTATGGTTGACTTTGAAGCTGTTTTCTCACTTAATCTGGAGTCTTTTTCGAACGCAATTGCTTAATTTCATCAAGAAAAGAGAAGAATTCTCATTTTGAACACAAATTTGAAGATTTTGAGGGTTATTTTATCACATAACCTACAAAAAGTTATCAAATTGATTTTTTCTAGGCAAAATTATTTAAAAAATGCTTCAATTTGTTTAAACGGAAGCTTTTGGAGTGCAAATATTCTTGTACAGTAAAAATCGTGAAAATAACCAAGGGAAAGAGACATTTTTCTGCATTTAAGTGATATTTTTAAGGTTATAGTTGACTTTAAGGCTTTTTCTCAATCAATATTAAGTTTTTTCACACAAAAATGCTCAAATCTGCCAAGAAACAGAGAAATTTGACAATTTATTCAGTTTTAAATAAATCACATAACCTCAAAAAAGTGATAAAATTGATTTTTAAGCAAAATTAATTAGAAAAATGCTTCAATTTGATTGAAATGGAAGCTTTTGCCATGTAAATATTTGATATATTTTGCCACTGTCAGTTCTAAACACTTCCTTTCAAGCTGTACACCACTTCCGATCATAATATCTGCCCCTTGAGGCGAGTTTAATTTCTGCCTCGTGCGACAAAGAGTTTGTCGCACGTTTGACGGGAGATTGTAAAGTTCACCAAGTCTGATAATCCGACATATATTTCCTCACACATTCTCTTTGCCTGCAGAGCTTATCGCTTCTTCTGCGCACTTTATATCGTCTTTTTTTACCCTCCTTTGCGCGCCCAAGATGGCACTTTGTATTGCCTTTTGTAATCCGTGCAGAAGAATTCAATAAAAAGCCCCATAATTTGCAGTGGAATGGAGACAGCGCATGTCGAAAAAAGTAATCAGAGGGTTGCATTTTAGCATATTTATGTGACTACCAGGCGTCTCCATTGGAAAAAGCTCTCAAGAACTTTGAACTCAAATATGAAAACACTGAATGGAAATATCTCGCAACTCTGAGGCTGTGAAGAGGGAAAGCCTTCACACAAAGGGAGATATTGTGATCTCGAGTGGTGTACAGATCAAATATTGACGATATTTAGTCTCCAGAAGCTTCCTTTCGTGCTTTTCTAGGTTATTTGATGACTTTAAGACAGATTGAGTGTCTAAAAGCAAGAAAATTGGCTAAAAATTCAGGGAAATCTCATCAATTCTGGTGTACAGTTGGCGGCAATATTGCACTCTGCCTTGCCTGCAGAGTTATTGTTCAATTTTCCTCTAATTTTCACCTCATCTCATGGCGAACGTGCGAAGTGTGAGCGGGGAAAATTGACTGCAAGGGCGCGATAATTGAAAAATTCAATGAGAGCACTTTACACGATCCGGAGAAGTTCATGGGGTGCGTGATGGCGTCGTATCGGTCGATGCTGAGCGCCACGAGGACGTAGGTTGAGGCGTAGGTGACGCTGGCCTGCAGGAACTTGATGACCTTGCAGGCGACATTTCCGGCATTCCACGAAATGGTCGTGCGCCAGATGATGTCCGTCAGCACGTTGAGCAGCCCCACGCAGAGATCTGGGCGTGATGAGAGCGTGCGATGATTGAGAAATCAATCAGAAAAAGGGTGTCAAGAGAGAGGAGCATTGATTGTGATTGGCGCCATATCGTTGGACAATCCCTGTGACACCCATTTATCTCCACCAGCGGAGGACAATAAATCGTCTGTGAGGAATTTCATGGTACTTTCACTACCTCAATTCCCATGGTATTGAGCACGATGGCACTCACAATTTATGGCAGTCCCACACTCGCAAACGAGATCGAAAGCTGTCCATATCCTCGGCGAAATGCGAGAGCTTTTCTCTCTCTCCACCCCCGCGCGCCATTCACACCCCCGCCAGCCGAAAGTGCTTCGACGTGAAGCCACAGAGAGTTATGACTTGGCGGCTCTTTTTTGCCACCCGACGCCTTTCCAGAGGTATTAATTCAAGAGGGGTAATCTACTTATGGGAAACACTCTCGCGGAATGACTAAGAGTGCCGAAGAGGCTCTCAAGTGTCCTCTTGCGGCCTCTTTTGTGTTTCTTCCTGTCTCCCGATCGTGATTTAGGACGCACAGAGCGTGCACGGTGTAAGGCTCCGCCCATTCCTTAGCCCCGCCCACAAAAACCTCGTGTTGCTCGTTTATTGGCTGTCAGGAGAAATCTATCGCGGTTTTCGCACATTTGGGCTAATCAGTGACAAAATCACTTAACATCCCCCGGAAACTGACCCCTTTTTCGAGCCAATTGCGCGCCCTCGTCGACAATACACGACTCAGTGTGGCGAAAAGTACAAAAAGCGTGTCGAGAATGGAGGAAATTGGGAATAAATTTGGCATGAGGAGGAGAAGAGCGAAGGAATTCAATAGATTTATCAGCGACGAGGGGAGGGTAACAAGCGAAAATCTCCTTTATCTGTGTCTCAAAGTACATCGTCAAGTGGTAATAAAATATCCGTGGGGGTTGGCGGAATAAGAAACACAAGCCATGGGAAATATCGTGGAGATTTACGACATGACAAGCTGCTCTTCGCAGTGGAATTAGTCAAAATTGACGATGGATTACAGTGGAGAGGAGTCTCTCGATTTCTTTCCATCCTGTCGATGACACTCTGCGCGGCTTCCGCGTGGGGGTCATTCAATGACCCCCAAGAGAGCGCGAGCTTCCGAGCGCGCGCGTGTAATCTTCGATGCTTAATTGCTTGATTAATTGAGCGTCTTGCGGGCGTGCAGAAGCTCAGCCACCACTAATCCTCTGCACTGGGTGAAAAATCGCCGAGGATTTGGCGAGAGATTCAATTAAAGCTCCACAACCCAACTGCACAGATGTTGCGAATTAGCGCGGAATTGATATTGATTCGCCTTGCAGTGCCGCAATGTATGCAAAAACCCCACGGCGAAGCTTATGCGCGACGACGCTTTTCATACCTGCAACGGCCAATTGCTTAATGAAGAAGTTCATCCGCGATTTGCGATTCTTGCTGAAGAAGAGCGTCACCAGAACAGCCGAATTGCCCAGCACGATGACAGTGAAGAGGACCCACAGGACGGTGAATTGTTCGATCTGCAAAGAAAATGTCCTTTTGGCTTTAATTTTTGAATCTCAAAACCGTCTTTCAATGACAAATTGAATTTTTATCGTTGTTTTTTAATGCTTTTTCTCTGACAAAAGTGCTTTAATTCAACGGCAATCATTTGTTATGTGTGGAATAAAGGGAAGAAAATTAACTCGTTTCATAACATAATTAAACAATGTGTAATGAATGTAATTAATTATTTAATTACTCGAGAACTTTTATGCATTTTAAGCTCATAGATCGCGTGCAAGTGTTTAAGAGCGTGAAAAATGACTGTTTAATTGTTTAACTGAAGCATTTTTCCCAGTGAAAGCGTGGGAAAAGAGCTTCTAAAACACTTCCTGAGCTTTCAAAATCAATATAGTTTTGTATGCAATTGCGGAATTATCACAATATTTGACTTTAATGCAATAATAATTGCCAATAAATCACCAAATATTATTTCAGATCAAAACAAATAAAACCCATTTATTCAATCTACAGAAGAAATATCATTCCTGAAAAGCACTCCTGAAGCTCTTCGTGGAGTTTTTTAGTGAAAAATTGCGCAATAAATAACCCTCTCGTGATTCAGTTTGTATAAAAGCACAAACGATGACAAAAACACTTGTATACAGAAGGGATTTGAATAAATCAAATGCGGCCACAAACGTGTTCGCCTGCCATCCATCTGTGGAGCCAACAAGTGTAAAATGTTTCAATAAAAAACTTTTATTGACACTCTCGCCTCAGAAATCCACTCCTTTTCCCAGCTCTTTCAGACAACACGCGCCTGCAATTCTGCTCGAACTTGTGGCCACACGGAATTTCCATAAAGACCCCCAAATTGCACACCAGGAGTGGAATTTCGAATGAACAATCCAAGGGGCAGATATTTCGATCGGGAGTCAAAGAAGGCAAAGAATATTTGCATTGCAAAAGCTTCTGTTTCAACAATTTTATGAATTTCTCAATTTAATACACTTAAAAAATCAATTTCATTGTATTTTTTTAGGTTATGTGATTGATTTGAAACAGATTTTGGTGATTAAAAAACCCTCGAAATCATAAATTTTGCAAATAATTCTCATTTTCTCTGCAGATTTGAGCATTTTGATAAAAGAAATCTTCATATTAATTGAGAAAGAGCTTAAAAGTCAATCATAACCTGAAAAAATCTCATTTCAATCTGGAAAAATGTTTCTTTCTTTAATTATTTCCACTGTTTTGTGTTTTAAAGTGTTAAATTGAAGTTAATAATCTATTAGAAACATTGAGAAATTAACTATATTTAGTCATTTAATTATTTTTGATTGATAAGTCAGAATTGAGTGTGAGAAGCAGTTGAAAGAGTCGAAAAAGAGATGAAAAACACCTTCTAAGACATTCAGAAGTCTTTGAAGTGTTAAAGATTCTTGAAGAGAAATTGTGTCATATTATCTCCCCCTTGGAAAAACCGTCTCCCATTTCGTCCCGCAATGCAAAATGCAATATATATATATGCTTTTTTGAAGAGAGATCCTCGGTGGACAAGTTCTGCATCTTAATTGAAAACATTGCAGCATCGCAAAGACGCGAATCACAAATTCCTGGAGCAATTTGACTTTCAAATTGCTTCCAGGAATTAAGCGTTTTCTATGGGCTTCTCATGACAGTTTATTTATTTATAATATGCGAAAGAAGCCCAGCAGGACGTCGACTTAGGAAGTCTCACAGACGATGTATTTCTCCTAATTGAATTATATTTCCGCCGTGATTGATTGACATTTGCGTGGTTTTTTCGACGGCCAGCGCTGTGGGGCTTTTTTTTGCTTCTCTCTTTCTTGGTCTGCAAACATCTGCGCGCGATTTCCCATCTGAGAAAACTTCCCCACCTGCGATTGTCGGCAATCTGTATCAATTTGTTCGTGCCGAGATTACCTTTCGTGGCTTCATCTTGTCTAATCTTTCTGGCGATTTGACTTGCGGTCAGAGAAGCCACTAAATTGCGTTCAATTTTTTGGCCTGTAAATCACTTTGGCAAATAATAATTCCAGCACAGAATATCAATTGGCAAAAATTGTTTACCATCAGATTATCTGCAATAAATCTGCAACATTTGATATACATTCCTTAATTGACTCATTTCATGCCAATGACGGAGGCAATTTTACGATCGCCAAGGGCCGGACCTCGCGAAACCCGTAAAACTTTATTCGCCAATAAAAGACTCTCTTTATCGCCGAAAAATAATATTTAACGACACACACGGCAGTTCATAAAAGAGCCCAGAAATCATGAGCTCATCATTCGCTCAAAGTGCATCCACGCGAGCCACAAATATTAATTGCCGCGATGCTATTAATTAATGCAAACAGAGATTCACTGGTTTCGCGGCCAGAAATAACTCACGTGCGCGCGCGAGTCAAAATTGCGTGTTTTGATGGACGCACAATTTTCCGCGGTGGGAAATGTGAAGAGTGCCACATTGCTGCCGCTGATGAACATGACGGATTAGCGGGAAGACGTTCGGACGCGCGGGAATAACAAATGACGGCGGGAGCGCGGCCAAGAAATGCCGTCGCCTCACTAAATGCAAAGTAAATAGTGCTTAAGTACTGTGACAAAGAGGCATTAATCTTTGGCAATGGCCACTCAACCAACTGACGGCGAGCGCACGCTCAATTTTAGACCAAAAGTCTTAGGAAGAACGTGAAAATTGCTCGTTTGTGTTGGGAAAATCGCAAAGAACGCCAAGACGATGTTTTCAGGAAAAATATGATTGAAAACTATTATTTATTGATTATCATTGACATTTTGTTCAACAATGTGTCCAAGATAGAAGCATAAAGAACACGAAGCGTGAAACACTCGAAGCATCTCACATAGTGTTGACGAAACATAGAAACGTGAACAAGAAATAGGATTCCGCGTCAGTCAGCCTGATCTTTTATAAACTATCAATTGATTTGATTTGATTTGAAAGTTTTTGAGTTCCTTAAGAATCTCAAAGTGTTCTCGATAAGTAAAATATTCCAAAATTAAGTGAATTACAGCAAAAGTGCTTTGAAAATAATCAGGAAAATAATAAATAAACAGGTTTAAAAATAAATTTTTCCCATGAAATTGAACTCAAGACAACTTTATACGATTTCTGTCGATTTGTTACAGATTATTTCTTAAAGAGATGCTCGGATTTAAAGAATTAAGAAGCTTCATTATTTAGAAAAAAATCTCCTTTTTGAAAGCTGCAGTTAGTAAATAAAAGTAAACATTTTTCCACATCCTTAAGCTTATTGTACGACAAAATTCTATAAACTGTTGTACAAAACAACACAACAATAATGAAAAGTCCTCGTGAACTTTTCTCTTGAGAAACTTTCACTCATTCTGAGCGCTTTGTTCCACTGCTAAACCTCCGCATTCTTATCAAAGGTGGCGCAGAACAATTCTCGCGCTCTTTCTCTTATTGGCCTCTTTGTGAGCCTCAAAGCCAATTGCTCATATAGAGAAAAACTACATATAATTTCCTCTATGATGAATGGCTGGGCGAAAGCACCTCGACAGCATCACGAGAGCGTGAGCTTTTGTACACAAACACACTTGAGAAGCTCTTAGCACGCGACCGAAGCCGGTAAAAAAAATCAATGATCTCCCATCTAAATTAACTCCACACGACTTGGCGCCTTTTTCCACCTCGGCGTCACTCAATTAACACACAATATTTCACGTGTGAAATTGAAGGTTTTCACCGCGTTCAATTAGTACATTGTGACTCTGCGTGTGGTCAGAATATGTTTGGTTGGCGCAATTGGAGATTTTCCAACCGACACACAGAGAGAGAGAAAAAAAGCCGAAAATCCGCTCAGGTTTTTGTTTGTGGTTGAATGGCGGCAATTTTATGTGAAAAATCCCATGTGAGCGCGGATTTTACAATAAAATACCACCAAAAGTGGCCACAAAAAATGGAGATTTAAATATGCAACGAGATGATATAAAGCAGATTTTGTGGTGTTCAATGATTGGGAATTGAAATTGTATAAATTCGCGTTATTGCAATTCACCGCAAAATTCCCCTGATTGATTATCATCCCAAATAACACACTTTTGGGGTCAATTTTGCTTCTCTCGCCACTTTGATCTTGTTTTTTATTATTTTATTTCGGGTGAAGATTCACCCAGAGATTATTGGAGAAATTGGACGTGGAAAAAAAAAACCCTTTGATGTTGCATCGAATTTAATTACCTTCGCCCGAGAATCGCTGCCGAGCAATGCGAACAATTTAATTTAATCAGAGCGATGCGGAGTAAATCGCTGGCGATGGTGTTTTAATGAAGATGCCATTCTTGTCGTCTATTTTATTGCGATGTGGTGCGATGAATTGAATGGCCTGGGCGGGCAGTAGAACAGCACTGGAAGGCAATTTTTCTATCACTCCGCCAGAGATTCTCTCCGTCCAACCAGTCAATCGACATCGAGCCATCAATCAACATTCCCTTCTGCTGTGTTATTCTTATATCGCATGTCTTTCGATTGCGAACACAGCGAGAAGACGGATCAGTTTTTCAGCTATCCGCAAATTCCTTTTCTTATCATCGCGCGCGGTGAATTCGATATCGCATCCAGAGAGAGCTTTTGAGGAAATTATCGTAAAATTGACTAAAATAGACTCTGGGAGGCTAAATATGACAAAAATAGAGGGTTATTTTTTCGTGTGTGGCGCCTAAACTGTTAGAAATGTCAATTTGCAGTCTTCTGTCCGCCATTTTGAACAACATCACAACAGATTTCCATCATTTACTCAGGAACTATTGCACGGTTCATGCCCTATTTTTAGTATCTTATTCCTGGCATCAAAACCTTTCCAACAAACCCACACCTAGGAACCTAGATCCTTCCAAACTGTAGATTTTAGGATCTGAATTTTGAAGTCAAAAATTGCCATAATTTCGCTTCTAATCAACCAATTGAAACAATTTCAAGCTTATTGGAAAGGTCTCGTAAAATGCTATCACTCACCGCTAGGGG